CACCATGGTCTTTTCACACTGTGATCCTCTTCCTTTGTAGCCTAGGGCAAGTGGAGCTCTGCTTGGTTTGCAGATCTGTGCATTAGCAGGAGAAGCTCAGCTCTTACTGGTGGCTCAGGTGCAAGGAAGCATCCATACTCTTCAGCACCTTTGTTGTGACCTTCTTTGCTCTGTATTCCTCATTACTCAAATCTTTCTTTAGAACCAAGTGTACACCTATAGTCCCAACACTCAAGAGGAGAGGCAGGTGGATCTCTGTGAGTTCAAAGCCAGTCTGGTCTGTAGAGTGAGTTCCAGGCCAGCCAGGACTACCACAATGAGACTCTCTCTCAAAAAATTAAAATTTCTTCAGGCCATGTGGGGACATGCACGGGCTGCAGGAGGCAGTTCTCTTGAGTTACAGTTACTGGGTCACAGCATTCTTGGACTGTACCTCTGCAACAAGGCACCCCTGTTGCCGTGAAAAGGCCCCCATGGGAGATATTAGAGGATTTCCCTTGAGATCTCAATTATCTGGGAGCCTTTCCATGTGTTCATGGCTGTTTTCTTCAGGAATTTGCAGTCTTTGAATTCTAGGTCTTAGGCCCTGTTAGGGATGTCATCTCAGCATACTTTATCATTTGTTAGTAATATGCTTGTAATTTTCTTTTTTATATTATTTTTATTTTATGTGTACGAGTGTACTGCCTGCATGTATGTGAGTGCACCCGTGTCGTGCAGTGCCGCAGAGGTCACAAGAGGGCTTCGGATTCCCCTGGAGCTGGAGTTAAGGACGGTTCGTAACTGCTGTGTGGGTGCTGGGAATCGATCCCGGATCCTCTGCAAGAGCAGTCAGTGCTCTTAACCGCTAAGCCATCCCTCCAGCCCCGATAATGCTTGTAATTTTCATGCACTCATGGTTACAGGTGCTCCTCTGTTTATGCTGGTCTTGCATCCCAATAAACCCATTGTAAATTGATAATGAACTCAAAATGCTTAACTGAACCCCATAGCTTAGAAACAGTGCAATTGGCCTTTAGGATCCATAAGCAATTGCTCCAGGACTCCCCAGATGCTGAATTCTGTGGGTGTTCAAGTCCCTATGAAACAGCATGGTATTTGAATATAACCTAAGCACACATCCAGAATGCAGTGCAAATGATATTATACAGCTCTTCCTGGTATGGCTTAGAGAATCAGGACAGGAAAGCATGTCCGTACATACTCAGTTCAGATACAACCATGCTGGGTCTGTGTACATTTTTGATGTGTGGTTGATTAAGTCCATGGATATAGAGTCCATCCATAGACTGGCTAGGAGCTGAGGCTCACTGTTGCTATCCAGTATACTGCATGCACCTAACGAGAGAAAAAAAATCCAAATTCAAAATGCAGAATCTAACAAAAGTATATCAGCTTTATACCACTGTAAAGTCAAAATTTTAGGAGTTAGGACTGAGGAGATGGCTTATTGCCATTCAAGCATGAGGACCTAAATCTGAGCACCAGCACCTGCAGGAAACTTGGGTGCAGCAGGCCATACCTCTAAATCCGGTGCTTGGGAGGCAGAGATAGAAGGATCCATTGAGCATGATAGCAAGCCATCATAGCCAAATTGGAGAGCTCCAGGTTCAGTGAGAAACCCTGGCTCCAAAAAATACAGTGGAAAGTGATTGAGGGAGACACTTAACACTGACCTCTGACTTCCACATGCACACATACATGACTGTGTACAAACGCATAAAATTTTTTTTGAAGTTAACGCATCTGGGGACTATCTATAAATCATTTCCTTCATGGTTTATGATCTTTGATTTTTATCTACGAAATCCTTCCAACCAAGTATGGTAGCACATGCCTTAATCCCAGTACCTGGGAGGCAGAGACAAAAGGACTGCTATAAGTTCTAGTCCACTTTAGTCTACATAGCACATTCTAAGCCAGCCAGAGCTACAAAGCAGGGCCCTGTTAAAAAGTCTGGGGCTGGAGAGATGGCTCAGCAGCGAAGATGATATACTGCTCTTGCAGAAGACCTGAGTTTGGCTCCCAGCACCCATGTCAAGCAGGGCACATGCTTACACACATACATAATTTAAAATAAAAATAAATCTAAGTGATAATAACGAGCATAACCTGTCTTTGCCTGTGGATGGCGTCTAACTTCCTTGGTCTCCAAAAACTTTAACCATACTTGATGTGGAGTTTAGTCTGCCCAGTTATTTTCAGGTATTCAGAAGCAGGTCCTCCTTTGTGGCATTAGCTGGCTGCTTCTGACTTGGTTAAGTCCTGATTGTGCTCTGTCTTCCTCATTCCTGGAATGCTGCTGGGCCTGCCTGATCCTGCTCAACCCTGCTCCCTGAGAGCCACAGCACTTTAGGGCCCACAGTCCTTGCCACAAAAAAGTATTAGAGACCCAGGACCTACCCTGCCCTGTCGGTTTGGTTACCATCCCACAGAGACATACATCCTAGTTTAGGCTGCAGACATGCATCTAATTTTTTCTTATCACATTGTTCTGTCCTTGACATATTCTTATGGGGAGAGAAGAGATTTTCCACATGAAGACTGGCCTTCCTAATAAGTGTTGACTCCTCCCAGTTTAGAATTTATGTTCTAATCAGTTTACATTTGAAGTGATAGTGATACTTTTTTTTGGTTTTGGTTTTGGTTTTTGAGACAGGATCTCACTGTGTAGCCCTGGCTGGCCTGGAATTCCCTGTGTAGATCAGGCGGGCCTCAAACTCAAAGAGATCTACCAGCCTCCACGTGCTGGGATTAAAGGCATGCAACACTATGTATGCCCAGTGTCCTTTTGAAAGGCAGTATGCTCACTGACTGGTGTATTCATTACTTGTCTCTGTGACCATAATACCAGATGTAAATTCACTTATAGGAGTACGGATTTGTCTTGTCTTAGTTTCAAAGTTTCAGTCCATCAGGGTAGAGAAAGCGTGGTAGAACAGCTCAGTTCATTGTGGCAGGGGCAAACGGCAGAGGCTTTTCACATCACAGGGCTGGGAGACCAGGAACAGAAAGCAAGGCAAGAATCAGGACAGAAGTGGCCTCCAAGCCCTTCCCTAGGGACCTACTTCCATCCAGGTCTCAACTCCTAATGGTTCCATAGCCACCCACAATTACGCCTAGCTGGGGCCTTCAAAACCTTAAGCCTTCTGGGAGACATTTCCGATTCCTTCCTTGGTCCCTCAAATGCTCTTGGCCATCCCAGAATGAGATGTGCATTTGATCCAGCTTTGAGTTCCCATACCCCTAAAAGATTCAACTTTGTTAGAAATCAAATGTTCAAAGTCTGTTCCTCTTGACTGTTAGCCCCTATAAAAAATGAAAAATGGGCTGGGTATGTGGCCCAGTGTTTAAATGAGGACCTGAGTTTCGATCCCCAATACCTACAGCCTATCTAGGGTCACTCCCTTAAAGAAGATCTGCTCTCCCTCACCCCATAGTAATCACTTGCCAATAGTTCCTTGGCTAGGGTTGGGGCCTGCTGCCCATTTCCCCTGTTCTGTGCTGCTTTTTGTCTGATTGAGTCACCATTGTTGCACATTCATACGACCAAGTTCCCAGTGACCTCAAAGCCTGTTTCCTTACGTTCATGTACCAGCCCTGCCTCTTCCTATTTTTCTGCCCCCTCTTCTGCAATGGTCCCTGAGCTGTGGGTGGTGACGTTTAATGTAGCAGTCCTATGCAGGGACACCCACTCTGCAATCTCTTCATTTTCTAAAACTTAGCCAGTTGTGGCCTTCTGTCTGCTGAGCCTTGAAATTTCTTTTTTTGTATTCATTTGCTTACTTACTAGTTTACTTTGGGGTTTTGTTTGTTCTGGTTTTTTTGTTTTGGTTTGTTTTTGTTTTGTGTTGTATGGTGTGGTGTGTTTTGGTTTGGTTTGGTTGTGTTGTGTTGTTGTGTTATATTGTGTTGTTTTGGAGACAAGGTCTCCCTGTAGCACCAGCTGGCCTGCAACTCACTACATAGAACAGACTGGCCTTGATCTCAGAGATCCGCCTATCTCTACCACCCAAGTGCAGGATTAAAGGCGTGCACCACCATGTCCCACTTTGTTTTTAATTTTTGAAGAAAGGGTTTCATGTGTCTCTGGCTGGCCTCAAACTCACTGAGTAGCCATGGCTGGCCTTAAAATCATGATTCTCCTGCCTATGTCTGCCAAGGGCTAGAATTACAGTTATTCACCATACCTGACCTGTTTTGCTGTTTTTCTCACAAATTAATTAGTGAATTGCTTTTGAATTCAGCCTTACCCAAATTTTCAGGACATGGGCAAAATAAAGGCATATTCTTTGTCAGAGTGTAACACAAATAAATGGCCTCTGATCCAATTCCCAATAGAGTCCTTGTTCCCATCTGAGTGAAACTTTATGAACCCACTCTCCACATTTTTGTCAGTATTCTAATCTTCCAGACTTCACCAGAATCATCCTTTAAACTCTGGTCACAGCACTCTAGCACTTCTCTAGCCCACAACATTTCTAAATTCCTCCTGTAAATCAGTTCCAAAGGCCGACGAACCATGTGGTCATGTTTAGTCACAGTGATGACTGCACTTCTCTCATAACCGGTTTTCTATACTAGTTCCTTCTGTGTCACTTGGAGAATAAGTGAAAAACAACTCAAATGGGGAAGGATTTGTTTTGGCTTATGGTTTCCGAGGGTTCCAATCCACCATAGTGGGGGAGGCATGGTGGAGCAGCTTAGGTCGTGGCAGTGGAGCATGTGGCAGAGGCTGTTCACATTACAGAGGACCAAGAAACAGAGACAGAGGCCCTTCAAAGGCCAGTCCCTAGTAACCTACCCCTGCCAGCTGGGCTTCACCTTCTAAAAGTTTCCCAAGATAATGCCACTGGCTATGGACCAAGTGTTCCAAATGTGAACAGAGGTTGGGGTGGGGCACATTTCAAATTCAAACCATAACAGTATTTGGTTTAAGCTGTAATAGGTAAATAACCTGATTTTTACAATGTTATCTTTAATCCTTTAACATTTTAAAGGTAGAGAAAATAAAAATCCTTCTGCGAAATGTTGATTTGACTGACATAAAGGTTGGCTCTGTAGAGGAGTTTCAGGGACAAGAGTACTTGGTCATTGTCATTTCAACTGTAAGTATCCCTCCTTGTGGCTAAGTAACCATGTGCTTGAAGTTGCTGGGTATTTGTTGAGTGACAGATACATTGAAATTTAAAATGGCAGCACCTGATCCACAGCAAAGCAGACTGCACTGCATGGTAGAGACTGTCCTAGAGTCAGGTGTTACAAAAAGTGGTAAAGATGGGAAATTCTTTAACAAAAAAAGAAAAAGTAGGAAGAAATGGCCAGTGTGTGGAGGAATAGGGTGTGTGGAGGAATAGGGTGGGGGGGGGAGTAGGGTGTGTGGGGGAGTAGGGTGTGTGGAAGAATAGTGTGCTGACAGACAGCAGTTGGGGAGCATAAGGCACAGGCCAAGAGGAGACCTCAGCACAGCAGTTTTCACACCACCATCCAGTGACATTGAACCCTCGAAGCCCTGATTTTTAATTTTTAAATAAACGTTATTACAAATGTATGCTAACTGCAGATCAAACATTCAGATGCAAAAGAGAAAAATGTGGACTACCTAAAACCCTGCCACCCAGAGATAACCTGTTAGCACCTGGAGTCTTCCTGTCCGTAGACAGAATAATGTGATACCAGCCCTGTCCCACTTATAAAACTTAATTTTTAACCAATTCTTAACCTTTCCAAATGTCTTCATGTAATACTATTTTATTCGTCTTTGTGTTTTTTAGGTCCGGTCAAATGAAGATAGATTTGAAGACGACCGTTATTTTTTGGGTTTCTTGTCTAATTCAAAAAGATTTAACGTTGCAATTACAAGACCCAAAGCCTTGCTGATTGTTCTGGGAAACCCTCATGTGCTTGTCAGAGTAAGTGAGACCAGGTCACAGGAAATAACTACTGGGCCCAGAGACATGCACATGGCACCAGGAGACACTGGCTTTCCTTCATCTGATTCTGGCTCCCTTCTGTTTTCAACAGGATCCCTGCTTTGGAGCTTTGTTGGAATACAGTGTTACCAATGGTGTTTATACAGGGTGTGATCTACCTCCTGAACTGCAGGCTCTGCAAAAGTGAGCGCTCCTGGTGTCTTCCTAAAAGAAGGGCTGGCTTTAAGACTCCCCCAGCCCTTCCACACAGGCTCTCCCTCGGGGCCCCACACATCCCACCCACTACAGCCTGAGGACCAGCCTTACTTCTTTGGCTCTTCTTCCCCTGAGCTATAGCAGCCACTCTTTCCTGGACATTAGTGGGTCAGTGTGACCCTTGTGTGCCCAAACAGGTACCCCTTGTAAAAGTGCCATGGAGGAAAGAATGTGGTTGTCAGCCCTCTGTGGGAACCAAATTCCATGTGGTCACCTCTCCCCTCCAGCTATGGTTAGACAGCACTGTCAGGATCTGTTGGACACAAAACTTAACACACAGCAGCCAACAGGGAGACTGTGTGCCTCGCCCCGTGGACCCCTAAGCCCAGCCATACTCCTGTCAGTCCTGTGACTCCCAGAGCTCCCTTGTCTCAATGCTGTGGGTGTTGGAAAGGGTAGGACCACTGGGTCACTGTAATGCTCCTGTTCCTGTGCATGGACCTTGGTTCACAAGTTTGTTTTTGCCAGTGGGCTGTCACTGCCACTACCCTGCCTCCAAATAAATATTCCAGTAACCCCAGACCCCTTTCTGTCTCAAAATGTGCCTACATCAGTGATAAGGGTTTTGTGTAGCTTTTACCTCTGATGGCTGCAGTCTTTGGAACTGGTTCTGTCATTCTCTGTTGTAGCATGAGCCAGATGTGTGCCCCAGAGGCACTGAGCAAAGTAAATGTCATCAAGCCCCCTCATCCCAGGCGATGAGCTTGTGTAGGTACAGCAATCAGCCATGGTCACCTCTACTCTGTAGGCGTCACTGCCAAAACCACTGTACCTGGAGGTTGGTCCTTTGAGAACCCGGGAAAGGAGCAGCATAGTGCTTGTTAACCATTTATGCAGGTGGGGAGTCTGTCTCCCTCATGAAGATCTTCCCACCCCTGCTAGCATGTGAGAAGGAAGCCACAGGAAATACAAAAGTGTGCCTCGGGGGTGGCAGAGCTCCCCAAACCAATGTGGCCACCTGCAAGCAGGGACCAGCAGGACATACACATGGACTTTAAATTTGGTCATAAAAGTGCCCTTCTCCTTTTTTGTTTTGTTTTGGTTTTTTTGTTGTTTTGAGACAGGGTGTCTCCATAGCCCCAGCTGACCTGGAACTTGCTGTGTAGACCAGGCTGGCCTCACAGAGATCCACCTGCCTCTGTTAACATGCCCAGCCTTTTTTTCTTTTTTTTTCCTTTTAAAGCTACTTCACAATGTCATTCCCAGCATATTGTAAATATTGCTATTTTAAGGCAGAACAGAGGAGCAGCCAGCCTGTCTGTCTCCCATGAATGAAAAAGCTGTGACATTTTACACCACCACCATCCATTAGAAGGACATTCTCCACAGCTAGAAACTTGGTTCCCGCCCTCTCAAACCCGTATTTCTACTGCCGTGGATTTGAATTCTAGTGCAGAATATTAAAGGTTTGATAGGAAAGAAAATACAAGTTTCCTTTTCTGTTCTGTACTTTGTTCTGGACACGTATTGGGGTTTCACACCCACCACCCCCATGGCCACAGCTGTGCAAAGGCAGGTGACAAGCTGTGGCCAAGGAAGCACAAGCAAAGGGAACATGGCTTGGTGCAAAAGCTTTTGGGTGCCCTTGCCACTTCTGCCCTCACTGGGCACCTGGGCTTATGTTGAAGAAGCAGATAGGGTGGTGAGTGAATAAGGATGATGGGATGGGGACAGAGCCCTCAGCCACTTAGGGATCAGCTGGGGGTGGAATAACTCTGTGCTCTTTGTTCAGAACATTAAAAAGTTGGATTGTGTGTTGGGCATGACCCTTGCCTGCGGTGACTAAACATTTTAGCTCCTCCTTTGCTTCTGGAAATCTGCACATACTGAGAAAACCATTCATTCTAACTGTGATGCCATGAGGCTGGGCATGGCCCAAGAACTGCACCTGGATTGTCATTCTTAAAGTACGCAATCAAAATGACACACAAATTAACTTGTTTTCATAAATAACTAAAGAGATAAAATTCTATTGGAAATGCATCATGTAAGGGTGCAAGCGAAGCTTCTTTACAAACTGTTCACAAGAGCACATTAAGACTGGAATGAGACTGGCTAGCTTGTCATTACTAAACGTTTGCTCTACTTGGGGAAATAAGAGTTGAGGCCGAGCACGGTAGTGTACACCTTTAACCCCAGGACTTGGGAGGCAAAAAAAAAGAAAATGAGGCTGGGGAGATGGCTCGGTGGTTAAGAGCAGCAGCTGCTCTTCCAGGGGCCTGGGTTCAATTCCCAGCACTCACGTGGGCGCTAGCTAACACCTGGTGTAACTTCAGTTCCAGGAGATCCAACGCCCTCTTCTGGCTTGCACAGGCTCTGCATGATGATGTAGGTACACTTACATAGATGCAGGCAAAACACACAAAAAACAAAAATTTTTTAAAGAGCTGAGGAAGCATCACCTTAATGAAAGGCAGGTGGTAGTGTCACTAGTCTGAGCTTGCTGAGGTCCTTGTCAATGCTGCGTGTTAATGCAGCCCCAAAAGAAAGGGCTAGCTGTTCCCACAGGGTTCCTCCCCAAGACAGGATTCTGGAAGAGCACCTCCAGTCTGGGTTTTGCCCCTGCATAAACATAGTGAAGACCCTATTCTCCACTCTTCGGTATAGTCTCTTGGGACAGCAATGAGGGAGAGCAGCCAGATGTCCAGGATCCTGCCCCATCCTTGCAGCATTTGAGCCCCTGTCCAGAGTGCTGTGCAAGACCTCAGCTCTCCTCACATCCAGGCGCCTCTTTGGGAATGAGGACGCTGATGCAATGTTTGGGTGGGGGGGCGTGGGGTTGGGCCTCACTCCTCTCAAGCTCCTGCTGTTCCCCTGTAAGATGGCAGAATGGTAAGTACCCAGTGACTCGAGCATTCCGTCTCCCATGCCAACTCAGCACAGCTGCAGGTCAGTAGTGCCTTATTTGAGTTATTTTGGCATTGAGAAATGTCTAACAAATAAAATGGCATTTACAGAAAGAAATTCTATGATGTGTTCAAGAACTAAACTAATGCAAAAAGACCTTTACAAAGAGGTGACCATTTTAATTCCATTAAAATAATACGGAAAAATCTAAATGAGAGATGTTCATGGATGTTATGATAGTTCCATTTTCAGTTCTTAAGTCTGCTTTTTTTTTTTTTGAAACAATGGGGATCCTTTTTTTTCATGTCGTTCAGGATGGATGGCCTCTAACTTGCTATGAATCAAAGAATGATTTTGAACTTTCCTGATTCCCCCACCTCTACCTCCCAAGTGCTAGGATTACAGATGTGTGGCACCATGCTTGTTTTCATATCTATATGGATGTGTGTGTGTAGGCCAGGAGATAACCTTGGGTATCACTCCTCTTTCGGCACCATATACTTTGTTTTTTGAGACATCTCACTGGGACCTGAGCCAGTTTACCTAGACTAGCAGCCAGTGAGCACCAGGGCCCTGCAGTGAAGGTGGAGACAGGCAGATCCCTAAAGCTCTGGCTCACCAACCTAGCAGAATTAATAAGCATCAGGTTCAGTGACAGCCCCACAGATCCTTTCTCAAAAGTGGAGAGCCAGCAAGATTGGGTAAAACTGCTTGCTTGCAAGCCTAGGAACCTGAGTTCCATCCCTGAACCCTACATTAAAAAGCTGGAAGAGGGCTGGAGAGGTGGTGCAGCAGTTAAGAGCACTGACTGCTCTTGCAGAGGACCCGGGTTCGATTCACAGCACCCACATGGTGGCTAACATCTGTACCTCCAGTTCCAGGGACTCTTGACACCCTCTTCTGACCTCTGCAGGCATTGCATGACAAGGGTGCACTTACACACTTGCAGGCAGTACACCCATACACAGAAAATAGAATTAATAAACTGGAGAGATGGCTCAGCGGTTAAGAACACTGGTTGTTCTTGCAGAATACCCAGGTTTGAATCCCAGCACCCACATGGCAGCTAACAACTGTCAGTAACTCCAGTCCTAGGGGATGTGACAGCCTCTTCTGACCTCCTTGGGCATTGCATGACACGGGTGCACTTATCTACATGCAGACAATACACATACATAAACTAAAAAAATTTTTTAAAATTTTTCTGTAAAACAGCTGGGATGCAAACCCAGCATGGTGGTGCACAACTTTAATCCCAGCACTTATCAGGCAGAGGCAGGCAGGTCTCTCTGAAATCAAGGCGAGCCTAGTTTGCATAGTGAGTGCCAGGCCAGCTGTGGCTACAGGGAAACCCTGTCTCAAAAAAAAAAAAAATGGATACAATGGTGCACATTTATAATCTCAGCACTCCTGTGGAGAGAGCTAAGAGGCAGAGCTAGCCTGGAGTACACAGCAGAGTGACAGAAACAGGAGACTGCCACAAAGCAAAGTAGAAGGAAAAGCACTCCCCAAAAAAGTTGTCCTCCGACCTCCACGGGCATGCTGTGACAGATGCACACCTGCACACACACAAAATGAAGAGCTGTGGAAAAAAGACCCAACTCCACTTCTGGCCTCTACATGCATGTGTACACATGTGCACACACACATATGCACATGTGAACACAACACCCAAAGGGCTGGGGAGATAACTGAGTAGGTGAAATGCTTACTTTGCGAGCATGAGGACCTGAGTTCCATCCCCAGAACCCAATGAAAAAGCTAGGCACTGGGCTGGAGATGGCTCAGCAGTCGAGAGCAGTTGCTGTGCAAGCATGAGGACCACAATTCAGATCCCTACACCCAGTGTAAAAGGTAGGCATGGTCCGGCACATGCTTTAACCCTGGCACTGCAGGAGGTGTAGACAGGATCACTGGAGCCCACTGGCTGGCAGCCTAGCCAAAAAAACCACAAGCTCCAGTTTCACTGAGAAAGCCTGCCTCAGAGGGATAAGGCGAGTGGCCCCTCCTGCCCCTCCCCACATACGTGCACATACACTGCACACACAGAAGGGAGAAGAAAACCTGGTGTGGTGATGCATGCTTATAATCTTAGAACTGGATCCCTGAGGCCAACATAGTCTGGGGTGACGTGAGCTCCAGGCCAGCGAGAGACCCTGTCTGAAGAACAAGAGGAGTGGGGGAATGGGTTGAGAGGTAGGCCTTTAGTCCCGGCACTCAGGAGGCCACGGTGTCTTAGGAACACCAACCTGAGGCCTGAGCTTGTCCTCTGGTGTTCACATTGCATGCCAGACACATGCACACACACAAATGAAAAGAGAAAAAATGGTTTTGATTCCATCAAAAGTAAACTTGGATAAAGCTAATGGATAAACACCTTGGAGGAGCTTGCACAACTGGTTAACAAAGGGGGCGAACGTTTGTAAACTAAACTTCAGATCACTAGAACCCACAGGGAAGCTGTCAGGGTTTGAGGTGCCAGTGTACAAAACCTTAGCAATCAATCATAGAAGGGCAAATAGGAAACCAGCATGGAACCCTGGAAGGTAGACCAATGATGGGGTATGACCTGCATGGCCCTTCTGGGAAGCTGAGAGGGGCACCAGCAACCCACCCAGACAGTCCTCAGAGGGCCTCACTGGGGACTGCACTGGGGAGCCTGGGGCTATGGCTTGTCAGGTGACTGGGACATCTCAGAGCATCCAGGGATCCAGGAAGTGGGGCTTGGGTTGCAGCTGGCCACAGCAGGGAATAACTTGAACCATGAAATCTGGGGCTGGAAGAGATGGCTCTCAGCAGTTAAGAGTGCTGGCTGCTCTTGCAGAGGGGCTAAGATTCGAATCCCAGCACACACATGGCCAACAACCGTCCCAAACTGCATTTCCAGGGGATCTGACGCCCTCCTCTGACCTCCGTGGGCATCGAAGGACACAGGAGCACTTACACACATGCAGGCAAAACACTCATACACAAAATAATAAGTAAAATATTTTTTAAGGCCGGGCGTGGTCGCGCACGCCTGTAGTCCCAGCACTTGGGACGCAGAGACAGGCGGATCTCTGTGAGTTCAAGGGCAGCCTGGTCTACATAGAGTTCCGGGACAGCTGGGGCTACAGGGAGACCCTGTCTCAAGAAGACCGAAAAAAAGTAAAAAAACAAAAAAAAACACCGCGAAATCTGAGCAGCAAGAGCGCGTCCTTCAGAGACGAGGGGCTCCGAGAGGGAGCAGAATGGGCAGCGGCCCAGAGACAGGCCGGTCGGACTCCACAAGCTCCGGGCCAGTCTGGGTGTGTGGGGAAAGGTTTTGAGACAAAGCTAAAGAATGCGTTACTAGAGGAAGTTAATACTCCTGTCTTTTAAAGCCGGGAAAGCAGCGATTGCAAGACGCGGAGCCAGAGGATCCCGCAGGAGGCCAAGGCAGAGAGCCCGGCCGGCCGTGAGAACTGGAACCCAGAAGAGGCTGCACAGCGGCTCCGGGGCAGCGGGTGCCTGTGGGGGCCCAGGCCATCGAATGGACTCAGGGAGAGGGCCAGAAGCCTCTGCGACCGGCGCGGGACCAGGAATGCTGGATGGACTGGATGGAGCACTGGAGGTGCCGGGTTGGGGTGACGTCGCCCCACGGGGTCCGGGACGCGGCTGCGGTAATGGGGCACGCGGGAGCGCCGGAAAGGACGCCCCGCAGCATCGCGTGCAAGCCGGCCTGGCAACCGGGGTGTCGGGCTTCTCGGTCCGTATCTGCAACGCCCCACCAGGCGGCCTCAGCGCCCACGCGGGACCCGGCTCCGGGAGCGGAGCTGGCG